GCATTGTATGTTTTTAAATTGTATTATTTTATTTTTATAAATTTGTAACCAGTACTCACGTATCTGTTAAGGGACAGAATGGCAAAACACAAATGAAACAATATATTTTATGAGTCAATTGTGTGTGTTTGTGTATGTATATAATCCTAGGATAAATAAAAAGAGAAAAAAAATTCTGCCAGGCTAGTGTGTAGTAGCTGAGTTAGTTCTTAATTGCTTTTTTAGAGTTAAATGTTAGAAGATGCTGTTAGCATGAGTAAATATGACATTTGTGTAATTTTATTCACTTATGAGCTTGTATGCTCAATTGTAACCTTAACTATAGAACTGTCATTGTTTCATAATGGTATTAATCATTTATTTTAGTAAATCAGTCCTTAGATTTTTGCTTTGTGTTCTTGCACACTGAATCTGGCTAGAATTTCTTCTGAGGTCTGTCACACTGAATATGTGTCTTCACAGTAGCTTGCAGGTGTTATTTGTAGCACAGGTAAACATTCATTTGCTAGCTCTGCTTGAGCTAGCATACTAAAACCAGCAATGTGATCATGGTGGTTTGGGCTGGTTTTCCAAATATATACCCAAGGTGTTGGGCAGGATCATACATGGGTGGTTAGCTTCATATGCAAATCACACTTCCCAGCTGGTTTGTAGACCTATCCAGTAGTTTAATACTTTAGACGGTACAGACTGAATGAGGAGGGCTCCAGATTTCTGTTTCATATTCGGTGCACAACAGTACTCTTAAAGATGCTCACGGATTGAAGCAAAGGACTTTGCACAGACCCCTGCTAATGCACTACAAACCTTCAGTAATTTTTGCCCAGTGAAGTTATTACGGTGTCATTAATTCATGCATAACTTGCTGTAACTTTTCTTAAAATGTGAGGAAGATTTTCTTTAAAATGTAACAAAAATGTTGGTCATGGACAAACTGACTTTTCCAGAGGCTCTCAACTCTAGTAAATGAGAATAATTTTTGCTGGAATATTCAAAGGCTCATTGAAGGCTGTTTTTCCTCATTGTTTGAATCCAGTTAAGAAATACACTTTTTAACAATTATTAAAAAAAATTTCAATTGTTTTTCTTCTCAATTTCCTCTTTGAGCAGAGATCAGTTCTGGACAACTTAAGGACAGTAAGTGTAATTTCATCTTCAAGTGCTTGTTCATGTTGATTCCAATCAGGTGTGTGGGTTCTGCATGCCTGATCATTGGAAAATGTTTACTTTAGCCGTGCCCGTTGAGTTGGCTGTGGTGCTCCCTGCAGTGGTGCTTGATGTTACCCAGCTGACTCTTCCCCATTTCAGTTCATTCTTACCGCCTGTGATGGTCATTGGAACAGTGTTTGACTTGCCTAGCAAATGCTCCCTTTGCTCTCCCTTAGCTTGTTAGTTAGCTAGTTCCATAGTTGTTGAAGTTTCTATTAGAATAGCTGTTTTGGTTAGGGACTGGATTCTACCTTTTCCCTTTCCTCCCCTTGGCTCCAGGACATGCCTCGTGGCCAGGGGTTTAAGCCATATGAGATTTGTAGCAAGTCTGTGCCAATGAGTTACCCACATGAGTGGTTTAGATTAAAGTAAAAGTTAAACCAAAATAAAATCTTAATGGAGTGCTCACTGACCGCCAATTCTGGGTCTGAGTGAATCAGTGCAGAGAACCTCGACATTTGTGTGCAACACTTCACTGAAGAAGCAGTCTAGGGATTCTCGGACCACAGAGTTGTCAGCACTGCTTTCATTCACCTGTGCTGCATAGGAGGAAGAAGGAGCTGAAGGTCTATTCACCAACCAGGGCACTTCATCCTTTCTGGCCAACAGTAGTTCATCCCCAGCAGAAGCACTCAACACCCTATACTCGGGGACTAGAGTTGTTGATTTTGATTCCCAGAGTGATTCCACTGTTCTCCCTCATCTGTCCATCACTATTCTCCTGGGTGCCACTCCTGCTTGCAGTTATGTTCCCAATTACAGCTGGTATCCCTGGCACAGGCCAAGCATTGGTGCCAGTATCTCCAGCATGGACTAAGCATTGGTGCAACTGTTCACCCCTTCAGCAGGGGTCAGCACCTCTGTGGTCTTCCAAATCCAGATTGAGATCATTGGGATCAGAGGCAGCATCCATTTTCTCTCACCACAGTGAGCACTTTTGTCTCAGGCACAGAAGTGAGATGCTTGTGTCTTGGACAACCTCAATGGAAATCTGAGCCCCAGTGGCCCTTTTGGACGTGTTGGGTGTACCATTAGACCCAAAGGCCATTCCCCAGAGGCCCGCACACAGGAAGATGGGACTTTAAGGGATCTGAGGCAGCACCATCCTGCACAGTCATGGAGGTATCCTCTGTAGCCAACCCAAACGGTCACTGCCACAACAGCAGATAGCTCACAGGCAATAGCGAACCCCAGAACACCAGAAAGTTCGAAGGTCAAGAGAACCTTGCTCCACGTAGAGGATCATCCCGTTGCCTTCAGGGCTCTGCTTCCAATAGATCATAGGTCCTACCAAGACCACCTTTGCAGGGTTGCCCACAATATGGGGCTGTAGGAAGAGGAGTTGACTGACCCTAAGGACTGAATGATAGACATTCTCACACCAGAGGTTCTGTTTAGGATAGCCCTAACTCTCTGATAAAAACCTATTCAGAGCAACATTAAAAGGCTCTGGCAGACCCCTACATCCATCTTCCCTATCACAAGGGGGCTAGAACATAAATACATTAGCCGTTCAAAGGGATATAAGTACTGATTCTCACATCCCCACCTGTGCTCATTGGTGGTCACTTCCGCTAATGGAGGGGGGGAAGGAAGCGGAGACAACAGGGATGGACTCAGAAGTTGAAGAAATCCAAGAAAGTAGACCTTTTTGGACAAAGGTCTATTCAACCTTATAGTTATACTCTATATCAAAGGATAGCAATATCAGACCATCCTGTTCTCTACAGGAATAATGTCAGTTTGTGGGCCTCTATGTTGAAATTCAAAGATTTCATCCCATCAAACTCCAAAGTCAAATTTGTGGTTGTTGTTGAAGAAGGCAAAACAGTAGCAAGAACCTCCCTTCAAGCTCTGGTGGATGTGGTAAATTCAGCTGCCCAGACACACTTGTCAGGCATAGCCCAGAGAAGAGTGGCATTGTTAAAATTGTCTGGTATGTACCAATGTTCACTCTAATCTTTTCCATCCGTGTGCAGATTGATAATGTAAATGTAGTTGTGTGCACTGTGGCTTGTGTGAATCCACCCGTAGAAATAAACTTAGCTGTGGACACTTTGTTAATCATCTTCATTGAATCTCTCCTGAGCGGCTGTACAAGTGCACAGCTTACAGGGAACACTGGCCTGCACCTGGAGGTGAAGCAACATTGCAGGACCTCCCAATTGCGGGTACAGGCCTTTGTTCAGACCAGATTGACTTAACAGTTTGAAGGACTCTGTGCAACTATGAAATCACTTGGAAACCTATTCTAACTCATCAGAGAAAACAATTTTAAGACCCAGCCTCAATATAAACGATCTTACCTGCCATGTCCTTGACCTCTGCTACCATACAGAAACTGCCATACTCCCAGTTAGGACAAAGGCAGCCCTCTCTCTGGACCTGAACAAGGGTTTGTGGCAGGTACACCTCTAATGTCAGATCCTCCTCTGACTATCCTGAACTGTCTATCCTGCTTCAGCTGTGTGTGGTCCCAAATAACATCAGACTGCTTGGTTGTTTGCATGGTAAAAGTAGGCTATTCTCTCAATTTTTGCTTTTTCCCTCTGTCTCTTTCATCCCTTTCCCCATCCTACTTCAGGAGCCCTTCTCCTGAGCAACTCCTTATTCAGGGGGTGCAATTGCCCCTCAATGTAGGGGCAATGGTGGTGATTCCTTAAGAGCAAAGAAGCAAGGAATTCTACTATTTCCTAATCCCCAAGGCAAAGGGTAGTCTCACACCTATTTTGGACCTGTGCCAGGGGTGGGCAATAACTTTTGATGGGGGGCCACTCCCAAGATTTTAGAAAGTGGTCGAGGGCCGCACTCTTCCATGGTAGTAATGGAGATGTGGGGTTTGGAATGGAGGCTGGGTGCAGAAGGGAGCTTGCAGTAAAGGACTGGGGTGCAAGAGGGAGACTGGAGTCTGGGAGGGAGTTGGGGTGAAGCAGGTGGTTGTGACCTAGGGCAGAAGGTTGGCGTGCAGGGGTTTGGAATGTGACCCAGGGTAGGAGGGGATTGTGATCTGGGGCAAGAGATTGGGGTGCCAGATTTGTAAGAGGGGAACAGAGGGTTTGGATATGTGGAGTGGAGGGTGGGGGAAGGCAAAGAGTTGTGGCAGGAAAGGGCTGGCGTGCCAGAAGCAGGCTCTGGCCAAGAGACTTACTTGTCAGCTGCCAAACTAGCCTGTCTGATGAGCTTAAAATGCTTCCCAGCCAGCTTGCTTGCCTGGCCATGTGCTGGATGAATAACTGAGCCCAGGAGAGAGGACGTGATTCTTCTTAGCTGCCTGTTATTCTAACAAGCAGTTCCTATTGATGGGAATGTGCTGGGGGTGGGCAGCTGCTAAAATTCCCCTCCCCCCCCCCCCGTTTTAAAAAAATGTTTCTGCACGGCGTGCGGAGCAAGGTGGGGAGCCTGCCTGGGGCTCTCCGCTGCCTCCGCGGGTCAGATCCAGAGGCTTGGTGGGCCAGATTCTGCCTGCGGGCTGTATTTTGCATGGGCCTGACCTATGCAGACTCAACATAGTCATGCAAAAGCTGAAGTTTGGCATGGTCTTCCTGAGCACAGTTATCCCTTCCCTGGATCCAGGAGGACTGCTACGCTGCTCTCAACATGAAAGATACATATATTCATTCTTCCTCAGCACAGACGCTTCCTGTGTTTTGTTATCAACAGGGAATGTTACAAGTTCACAGTTTCCTAGTTTGGCCTATCCACTGCACCTCGGGTATTTAGCAAGTGTATGTTTGTGGTGGTAGCTTTCCTTCAGATCCAGTGGCTTGGTGGGACGGGTGTGTGCAGATATTCTCCTACCTAGACAAATGGGTAATACAAGGCCATTTCAGAGAGAAGGTGGATTTTCATGTCTAACTAGCCAAATCCACATTTCAGAGACTGGGATTTCTCTTCAATGTGTGCAGGTCCACTCTATCTTTGACTCGGAGAATAGAGTTCATAGAGGCAGTGTTGGACTCGGCACAAGCCAAAGCATTCCTTCAAGAGATGTGATTTCGGGCCATAGTAGGCATCATTCAAAGCCTCATGCTACATCTGATTACAATGGTAAGGGATAGTATGGCACTTTTCAGCCACATGACAGCTTGGTCAAGCACACCAGACATAGAAGGCTCCAAACATGCCTAGCTTTGATCTACCTCCGTTTACCCCAACATGAAAGGCTGGACTTTATAGAACTTCTTATGGGAGCGTAAGTACTGTCTCTCCATCAATGGTTAGACCAGCTACAGTGTGCCAGGGAGTCCCTTTCAGTAACTTCCAGCCCATCTTAATCCTTGTGACGGACATATTGGCATTGGGGAGGGCTGCACAGCTAGGAGGCCATCAAACACAGGGCCTGTGGTCTAAGGATGTAAGCAACTAGTTGGCTACCTGATCAGGGCCGGCCTGAGGTATTCTGGCGTCCTGGGCACAGGCGCGCGGCACTGCCCCCGGGGGGCATGATGCATGCGTGAGCCCGCCCGTGGGGAGCGGACCCACCCCTCGAAGATGCGCAGGCCCGCCCCCATGGCGCATGCGCGGCCCGGCTACAGCTGCTGACGTGCAGCCCATGCCCGCCCCTAGGGCGCACTGTGCAAGCGCGGCCCAGTCCGGCCCGGCTGTTGCTGCTGGTGCGCATGCCAGGCCGTGTAGGACCCCGCAGCCATGGGGGAAAGGGCATTGCTGGCCAGTGCCGTGGGGATGTGGGCAGGCCGGTGCTGCGGGAGCCGGGCGCGTGGCGCCTGATGGCAGCTGTAAGGGACGCTGCGTGCCCCTTACAGCTGCTATCAGGCACCCCCCATCAGTTGGCGTCCTGGGCAGCTGGCCGGCTTGCCCATGCCTCCATCCAGCCCTGTACCTGATAAGCATATGCTTATCAGGTAGGCGAGTAGGAACTCGTCTAGTCGCTTCTACTTTCCTCTCCCTGCTGCCTCTATCAGAGATAGGCAGCGAGGGGGGAGCTGGTGCTGGGGGGAGCTGATTCCGGGCTTTCCCCTGCCCCTCCCTCCCATTACACCTCTGCCTGTTAAATGTCCACGGTTACCTGACGAGCCTGGGTTCATCAGTTAATAGTCATGGTTATATGAAGGCGTCTGCTATGTGCGAGGAGCTGGCTTAAAAGCCGGCTCCCCACATGCACCAGTTTCTTGGGGAGCTGCCCCCCATCCATGCTGCTCCCTCTGAATCAGGGGTTCCCAAACTTTTTGACACGGGGACCAGTAAATCCATTCACGAACTTTTGAAGGACTGGTAATGTTCATTTGCATATTTGCATATTCATTAATAAAATGATGAATATTCAAATAAGTTGTTTCTGGTCCTCCCAAAACCCTCAGTGCCAGCTTTAGCAAAGCTTTTGATATGGTCACCCGCAATATTCTTGCCAGGAATATGGATTGGATAAATGGACTGTAAGACAGACAGAAAGCTGGTTAGACCAGGGTTTCCTAAACATTTTACTTTAGTAGGAACCCCCCCCTTTTTTTTCTTCTTCAATACTGCTTTTCGCAGCCCAAAAATATAAACACACAAAAAACAAACTCAGAAAATACCAGACATATAACATGTCTGGTATTTTCTCATTAGGTAAGTTGTATTATTACTAGATGTATCAGTTTGTAGTTTCGAACTGGCTGGCTGATAAATGTGCTCAGGCTGCGTGAGTGTGTCTACCAGCCAGCTAGTTCGCAACTATTCGAGGGTGTGTGTGTGTGTGTGGGGGGGGGAACAATAGAATCCCTGGGCCGGACTAACTCGTGCTTTGCGGGGGGAGGGGGGGACGGGGGCAGCACCCCAAGATCTACATATGGCCGGGTCAGTCCCACTCCCCGCAGGCCGATTCATTCCTCCCCCCCTGCTCCCCCACTGTGCCTCTGGCCAACCCCACTTCCGCCAACCCCCTCCCGGGCAGCCAGGTCCCTGCGCGCTTCTCCTCCCAATCTCCCTTGGCCAGCCCCGCTGCCCGCATCCAGCCCTGCTTCCAGCGGCCACT